GCCATCTAGCTCAGAAGCAACAAAGCCCACATGGAAGATGCACACCAGCCTCTGTGATCACGAGGGGTTGAAGGGATCAGGTATCAATCACCAAAGAACAAAAAATCATAATATCGTGAATGAGTGGGAGTGCGGGATAGGGACCCAATGCCCATCTGTAGACAACTGGACATCTCTTGCAGAGGGGTAGTGGGGAGGAGATGAGTCACTCATGGTGCAGCGTAGCATCAATGAAACACACAACTTTCCTCTAGTTCTTAAGCGCTTCTTCCCCCCACCCCCACTACCACGATCCCAATTCTACCTTACAAACTTGGTTAGACCAGAGGGTGTACAGTGGTGCTGATAGGAACTGGAAATTCAGGGAATCCAGGACAGAGGAAATCCTCAGGAACAGTGGAGAGAGTGGTGATACCAGGAGGGAGGAGGAAGGGGGATCTACATATAACCTCCTCCCTGGGGGATGGAAAACAGAAAAGTGGGTGAAGGGAGACGTCAGACAGTGGAAGATATGACAAAATAATAATTTATGAATTATGGAGGGTTCATGAGGGAGGGAGGAGCAGGGAGGGAAGGGAAAAATGAGGAGCTGATATCAGGGGCTCAAATAGAAAGCAAATATTTTGAGAATGATGATGGCAATAAATGGGCAGATGTGCTTGACACAATGGATATATGAATCAATTGTGATAAGAATTGTACAAGCCCCCAATAAAATGATTTAAAAACAAAACAAAACAAACATCCAATAAAAATCAAAGGGGAAGGGAGACAGCGGTTGGAGTGAGATTTGAAAATAATTAACAATCTACAATCTATCAGGGGGCCACGAGTGTTGGGGGGTGGGGCGGGGAGGGAGGGAAAAAAGGAGGAGCTGATTCCAAGGGCTCAATGGAAAGTAAATGTCTAGAAAAGAACGGTGGAATATATGTTCGAATATGTCAGATACAATTGATGCATGGTTTGTAACAAGAGTTGTAAGAGCCCACAATGAAATGATTAAAAAAACAAAACAAACATGATCCAACTATGCGCTGTTTACAAGACATACCTTAAAATATAGGACAAATGGGTTGAAAGTCAAAGGAAGGAGAAAAATATTCTGTGCAAATAATAACCCTATGAGAGCTGGGGTAGCAGTCTTAATGTCAGACAAAGAAGACTTTAAGACAAAATCTGCCAGAAGAGTTATACGGATAAATTAAAAAAGGATTCCAGTTAATACATACATGGATTTATTCCAAACAAAATGTGTTAAAACATGTCTCTGCGATCAGTGGATGGCTATAAACAAGTTCTCTGAGTAACATGTCTGTTTTAGCCTCACTAGAGTGCCTTTAAAAAAGGATCCAATCAAACAGTGGCTTCCTAGAAGAGCAGTTGGGCCAGTTAGAAAGTGGCTGAACAAAACAGGACTCACACTTCTTGATTTTAAAACACTGTGTAGCTAGTCATTGAAACCACCTGGTCCTTGTATAATAACAGACACAAAGACCAACAGAATAGAATTGAGAGTTTAGAAATAAATCCACACATCTATGATCAGCTTATTTTTTAAAGGCTGCCAGGTCTCTTTAAGAAGAGAGTTTCTTCAATCAACAATTCTGGGAAAATTGGATTTCCACTTGCAGATAAACAAAACAGGATCCTTGCCTCACACCATACATAGAAACAAGTTCAACCCTGGGGGAAGGACAACAGAAAAGTGGGTGAAGGAAGACGTCGGGCAGGGCAAGATATGACAAAATAATTATTTATAAATTATCAAGGGCTCATGAGGGAGGGGGGAGAGGGGAGGGAGGGGAAAATGAGGACCTAATGCCAGGGGCTTAAGTGGAGAGGAAATGTTTTGAGAATGATGAGGGCAATGAATGTACAAATGTACTTTACACAACAGATGTACATATGGATTGTGATAAGAGTTCTATGAGCCCCTAACAAAATGATTTAAAAAAAAGTTCAAAACAGATTAAAGAGCTAAATGTGCAAACTAAAATGATAAAATTCTTAGAAGAACAAGCAGTGGATGTGCTAATCTACAAAGGTTAGCTTTCAACAATGGTTACCTAATAGCGTTAACAGAAACACAAACAGCATAAAAATTAGAAGCATTTACAAAAGATTTTACCTAAAAGGGGAAAGGTTAACAACTAGATTATCTTTTTTAAAAAAATCATTTTATTGGGGGCTCGTACAACTCTTATCACAATCCCTACTTACATCCATCGTGGCAAGTACATTTGTACATTAGAAGATTATCTATAGAAACTTTATATCTGAGAAAAATCTAATACCCCCAAATATATAAAACATTGTGAACTTAACAAACACACAAATAATCCAATCATAGAATGGACAAATCACAAAAGAGATCTTCAAATGGACAACAAATCCATGAAAATATGCTTATTTAGGTCATAAGCAATCAGAGGGATGCAAATCAAAACCATTTCACTTCCACAAGGATGGCTAAGATAAATAAAACTAGAAAACAACAAATGTTGTCAAGGATGTAGCAGAACTGGAAACTCCAGTCACTGCTGCTGGGATTTCAAAACTGTAAAGCCACTTTGGAAAAATATGACTACTATTTTTTTGTTGTTGCTAGGTACCACAAAGTAACAACTCTGAGGGACCACAGAATGAAACATCCTCACAGTGGCATCCTCACTGTCCTGGCTATATTTGAGCCCACTGTTGCTGCCCTGTGGTAATCTATCTTGTTGAGTGTCTTCTTGTTCACTGATCCTCTAATTTGCCAAGCATTATGTCTCTAGGGACTGGTTTCTCCATATCAGAAGCAATGAACCCATGACAGCAGTTCTCAAGCTGTGGGTCGTGACCCCTTTGGGGGTCGAACGACCCTTTTACAGGGGTCGTCTGATTCATAACAGTAGCAAAATTACAGTTATGAAATAGCAGCGAAAATAATTTTATGGTTGGGGGGCGGGCAGTCACCATAACATGAGGAACTGTATTAAAGGGTCGCAGCATTAGGAAGGTTGAGAACCACTGACCTAAGATTACGTTTTGTCATTCTTGCTTCTAAAATGCATTCTAGCTGTACTTCTTCCACAATAGATTTGTGCCTTCTTCTGGAAACACCGTATGACCCAATTCTAGTCCTATGGACTCAAAGGACTTGAAAACAGTCTGAATAAGAAGTGTGTATAGTAGTGTACACTGCAACGCTATTTTATATAGCCAAAGGTAAAAACAACTGAAATGTCCATCAATAGATGAATATATAAACAAAATGTGGTACATATATACAATGGACTACTACTCAACAAGAGAAGTTAAAATGTAATACATACTACAGTATGGATGGAGCTTGAAGACATTATGCTAAGTGAAATAAATCAGTCAAAAAGGGACAATCATTGTTATAACCTCAATTATCTAAAAACACAAGAAAAGTTAAGTGTACAGAAACCTAAATTTATTAGTAGTTATCAGGGGCAGAAGGGAGGGGAGAAAAGGGAACTTAATAGTGATGGAAAAATTAAATTGATTAAAGGTAGGATTACACAACTAGTTACTGTAAATGCCCTCATTAAGTTGTATAACTTAAAAAACTTAAAAACAGGGGCTCCAGCTGGAAGATTAAATTTTGAATGTCCTGAGAGGTCAGATTGCCTTCAGTATCTCTTCCTGTAGACATGGCCCCTGGACATGGACATGGACATGAACATGGCCATCATAAAATGGAACTTCCAGATTATAGACAGTGAAAGACAGAAGGGACACCATTAGAAACGGTCCAGGAGAAGCTGGCTGCACAGGGGCCATGGGGCCACAAAGAAGCCTGGAGATACATGGGTGGATTTGCAAACAATGTTTCCTTTCTTGGTGCAATAGTAAAAGGATTCAAGTGGGGATTTTCTGCCTTCATGGTAGCTGCAGGAGCGGAATATTTCCTGGAGTTCCAGAATAAAGATAAGAAGAATCACTGAAGCTAGTTCCTGGAAATATATTAGTGGCTTCTTAATCTCTTATAGAAATAACATATCTATACCATAACCTCCTTCTCAGTGTGTTTCCTCATTAAATAAAACAAGTAAGATGTAATTAAAAAAAAGTAGAACGGATAAAAGATGACCAAAAAAAAAAAAAAAAGCTACTGCTTATATAAACAAACAAACAAACAACGCCTCATGAGATTTATTTGGATCCTTGGTTTCTAAGTTTAGGGTCAAGATTTCATGGAATATCTCAATTATTTTACCTAACACCATGTTTACTGCTCTATCTCCTAGTTCATTGTGTAGTGCCTGGGGTATTAAAAGCTTCAAACAGCCTTCCAAGACACAACTGATCTCTATATACCTGGAGCAACAGAAGAAAAAGGGAACTCAGAAATAGGAGGACTTGGAATGTGTGGCTGGTTGCCTCAATGAACAACTGCCTCCTTTGCAAAGAGACCAGGAGAACTAAATGTGGCTGACTACCACTAGTGAACGTTTTGGTAAAAGATTCCCTGGAAGAATCCTGATAAAAAGGGGGAAATGTAGAAGAGAAATTCAAATTATCATACTCTAGGTATGTCTGAAGCCATATAGGGTGGTTGAATCCCTAATACTATTTCCCTGAGATAAGCTTTAAGCCAAAAAATCCCTGAAATCTTAAAACCAAATGATAGTTCAGCTTGTGTAGTTAAAAAAGTTCTGCTTTGATCATTTTGCTCTTTTAAGATTTATTTATATAAAATCCAATTGAAAACAAGAACTCAAATGATTAGATAGGACCCTTGGAGGAGGGCAGTAAATTTATGTAAAATTAATCATGTAAAATAATACTTAATTATTTATGGAAATTTACATACATAGTGAAAATATACCATATGCAGAAAAGTAACAGATTGCAAATTCAAAGTAAGGGTACCTCAAGAAAAGAAGAGATGTAAATAAAATAGTGGAGAAGTACAAAAGTAACTCAACTGCAGTTGTGTGTGTTCCTCCCTTAAAAAGAAAGACATGGTGCTTGCTTTGGCAGCACATAGACTAACACTGGAACAATACATAGAAGATTTGCATGGCCCCTGTGCAAGGATGACACGCAAATTCATGAAACGTTCCATATTTTTACGTTTTGAGAAACCTTTTGCACAAAAAATTATTTGTGCTTTTATTAAATAAAATAAGGACTTAAAATCTGTTGATCATAATATGTATATAATATATTGTATATTATAATATATTATAATATATATTATGATCAACAGATTTATATATATATATCAATATATATAAAAAGAAAGACATGGTGGAGGTCAGAGACTAAAACATGACAGGCACACTGTTTTGCTGGTCTTGAAGAAGAATCAAGCCAATCTAAGTTCTATAGCCATGAGGCAATGAATTCTACAAAACCACCAGTAAGCTTGGAAGAGGGTCCTGAGCTCCAGATGAGAATACAGCCCCAATAGACACCTGGCGGTTTGTGAGTCCGGCAGAAGACCCTGTGAGCTGTTTCTGGAATTACGACAGCCAGAGGTTGTTAGTTGCCAGAGTCTGCCTTGACTCCTGGCGCCCTCGTTTGCTGCAGAGTAGAACTGATTCACAGGGTTTTCTTGGCTGTAATCTTTTTTTTTTTTTTTTAAACAGTTTTGTTGGCACTTCATCCACATGTCACACAATCCAATCATATCAAGAAGAGCTGTACAATCATCACCACAATCAATTCTAGAACATTTTCTTCTTCCTTTGGCTACAATATTTATGGAGATGCTGGATGTGTTCAAACTATCAGTCTTTAGATTAGTAGCCAATCCCAATCATTTATGTCACCCAGGGTCTGGATGATAATAAATTATGATGATTAAATTTTATAGAAATTAAAATTTTTTTAAAAAAGTGTGAAGCAAACAGGGCAAAAGGTTAAGATTAATTTCATTCATTGAAAACGAAGATATAGTGGGTGAAGGGAGACACCGAATAGTGTAAGATATGACAAAATAATATTTTATAAACTATCAAGGGTTCATGAGGGAGGGGGTAGTGGGGAAGTGGGGTGCAAAAATGAGGAGCTGATGCCAGGGGCTTAAAGTGGAGAGCAAATGTTTTGAGAATGATGAGGGTAATGAATGTATAAATGTGCTTTACACAATTGATGTATTATGGACTGCGATAAGAGTTGTATAAGCCCCCAATAAAATGATTTTTAAAAAATCAGTGAAGGGGCCATAGACACTGTTGCAATTCAGAAAAATAAAAAGAAAGAAAACGGAGATATATAGGTGTGCATGCCATTTTTTAAATGCTTGCAGTATTTCATAATAATAGAATTTTTTAGAATGAATGTAAGGTGAGACAAAGATTAACCTCTCTGTCAAGAAGTTAGTGTGGAAAACAGCAGATAAGCAAGCAGGGCAGTAAAGATTTTTGTGTTTATAAGCATGTTTGTGTACTGATGGGAACAAGGTTTCTACAAGAAGGGAGTCCTTGAAATCAGGGTTAAGAATAGGGGTGGGGTAGACCATAGACAGAAAGAATGGGCACTCTTTTGGGCAAAATGAATTGGAAGGAGAATGGTTCAGAAAGTAGGGACTGTACCATTTTGGTGATGTGAAAGGAGGCTGCTGTCAGAGGAATTAATTTTTTTAGTGACTTGCAGGGCAGGGTCCCTAGCTGAAGTGAAGGGAATGAAAGGAGGGTAGAAGGGTCTGAATAGGTTGAAATGGGTGGAGGAAAAAGGTCAAGGGAGGGGGGTAGGTCAAGGGACCTACAATGAGATCAACAGGTCCCCACACACCACTTCCAAGTAAACATTTAAAAATCTCTAGTAAACACCAAGAAAACCTAAGGGAAGTCTCCAACATGACAGAGATGCCAAAACAATGAAGCGACCAGGAAGAAGTAATCCAAAGGAAAAAGCAAAATAGGGCAAATGACCAAGAAAATTAGACCGTGTACAATGTTAAATGTGATAAATCATCTTTAAAAACTTTGACTACAGGACATTTCTAAAATAGGAAATAATCTATCTAATTCTTTTATAATTCTAACTAGACATTATATAATAAATCATGTACAATGTTAAATGTGATAAATCATCTTTAAAAACTTGACTAAAGGACATTTCTAAAATAGGAAATAATCTGTTAATCTAATTCTTTTATAATTCTAACTAGACATTATATAATAAATCAATATACTATTCCTTTATAATGAAATGAGCTTTTATTTTGTAAAATGGAGCAATAAATTCTAGTTAAAGTCTCATATTGTAAAGCCCTTTCCTTACTGAAGATGAGAATTAAAATGCCTCATACACAAAAGGACAAATACAATATGAGTCCGCTGAGGTAAGCGTTAAAAAAAAAAATGCAAAAGGGACATAGGGAAAAAGCTACTGTACACAAACATTCTTGGGGTGAGGACCGGGTAGTAGGGCAGGGACCAGATCAAATGCAGGGATGCACATGGTAGACAACTGGGGAGGAGGTGGGGAAAGGGACCCCCCCCAAAAAACATGATGAAAACAAGGAAGAAATGGGTAGGGGGGGGGCATGGGGCCCTAAGGGGAGGGTATTGTTTATATCTCCACAGGAAAAGCGGGACCAGACTTCAACCCAGTGCTCCAAGGTGTGAATGCAACATGCCGGCAGGGAGCCAGTGGAGAGGTCTTTGGGGCTGGCTCCAGTCCCAAATACTAAGTGAATGCCTGCCCCTCCCCGGAGGAGAATTTCTTTCAAAGGACAGCACTGAATCCACAGCTCTGGGGAGAGAGATGTATCTGATCGGAGCACATGGGAGCAGATGACGGGGGAGGAGGAGAGACTGGAGCACATCCTGGCCCACCAGGCCTTGAGGA